TGGGAGAGGCCCAGATTAAGCGGAGATGACAGACTTTCTTTCATAAACTTCTGAATGAAGAAGGGGATCGGGATATTGTGCTAGCCGAGTTGGGGCATTCCGAGAGTCACCAGGACTTTGGGTATTGTAGGCGCATCAAGGTTGAGGAGATCGTGGGGGCTATGCGTAAAATGAGCAGGGGCAGAGCTACCGGGCCTGACGAGATTCCGCTAGAATTTTGGAGGTGTGTGGGTAGAGCAGGTTTGAGTGGCTGACTGGGCTATTTAATGTTATTTTCAGGACGAAGAGGATGCCGGATAAGTGGAGGTGGAGTACGGTGGTTCCGTTGTACAAGAACAAAGGTGAAATCCAGAGTTGCAACAATTATAAGGATATCAAATTACTGAGTCATACCATGAAAGTTTGGGAAAGGGTGGTAGAAGTCAAGGTGAGGAGGACGGTGTCTATATCTGACAACCAGTTCGAGTTCATGCTAGGGCGTTCTACTATGGAAGCTATCCACCTTATTAGGAGGTTGGTGGAACAGTACAGGGACAGGAAGAAGGATTTGCACATGGTGTTTATTGATCTGGAGAAAGCGTATGACAAGGTTCCTAAAGAGGTTCTTTGGAGATGTCTAGAGGCTAAAGGTGTGTCGGTTCCTTACATTAGGACGATTAAGGACATATATGATGGAGATAAGACTCGGGTTAGGACAGTGGCAGGCGATTCTGAACATTTTTCGGTTGATATGGGGTTACACCAAGGATCTGCGCTCAACCCACTCGTATTTGCCCTGGTGATGGACGCACTGACACACCTTATTCGAGGGGAGATGCTATGGTGTATGTTATTCGCTAACGACATAGTTTTGATAGACGAGACGCGAAGCGGCGTTAACTAGAGGCTGGAGGTTTGGAGACAGGCCCTTGAGTCTAAGGGTTTCAAGTTGAGCAGGACTAAGACGGAATATTTTGAGTGTAAGTTCAGTGCCGAGCCGAGGGAAGCGGGCATGGACGTGCGGTTTGGATCGCAAGTCATTCCCAAGAGAGGCAATTTCAAGTACCTTGAGTCGGTTATCCAGGGGAGAGGGAGATCGACGAGGATGTCACACACCGTATAGGGGTGGGATGGATGAAATGGAGGTTAGCATCTGGAGTCCTATGTGACAAGAAAGTGCCACCGCTACTTAAAGGTAAGTTATGTAGAGCGTTGGTTAGACCGGCCATGTTGTATGGGGCTGAGCGTTGACCAGTTAAGAACTCACATATCCAGAAGATGAGAGTAACAGAAATGAGGATGTGAGGTGGATGTGCGGGCACACTAGGATGGATAAGATTAAGAATGAAGATATTCGGGAGAAGGTGGGTGTGGCTCCCATGGATGACAAGATGCGGAAAGCGAGGCTCAGATGGTTCAGGCATGTATAGAGGAGGAACTCAGATGCCCCCGGTAAGGAGGTGCGAGCGGTTGGCTTTGGTGGGTACGAGGTGAGGTAGAGGGCGGCCTAAGAAGTATTGGGGAGAGGTGAGATATGGCGAGGCTTCAGATCTCCGAGGACATGACCCTCGATAGGAAGCTGTGGAGGTCGAGCATTAAGATTGTAGGTTAGGAGGTAGTTGAGCATATTTCTAACTCGTACCAGTGTGAGGCTAGTCTGATAGAATTTTGTCTTAGACTGCTAGTGGTCAATGTTGTGTTCACACTACTCTTCCGTTTTCATAGTGTCGGGCCTTATTTACTAGTTATTGTTTGTTTTTCATCTATTTACTGGTTCTTGTGATGTTATTATTTCTATGATTTTTGTTGATGGTATTGATATATTGTCTCTTTTCGTTTTCTTGAGCCGGGATCTATCGGAAACAGCCTCTCTACCACCTCGGGGTAGAGGTAAGGTCTGCGTACATACTACCCTCCCCAGACCCCACTTGTGGGACTTTACTGGGTCGTTGTTGTTGTTGTCCCTATGCTGACATTTACAGGCAGAATTGTCCTTCTTGTATTAAATACTGTATCAAGTACTTCGGCCATTTGCAAACATATTTAAGTTATTTACACAAACAATGTAAATCCTTACAGTAGCATTGCAATTCAACCTGCTTGAGCCCCAGGGCTTTGGTCTAGTGGTAAGAGTGCATTGATGTGTGTTAAGCGCACATCAGGTGTCCGAACCTTGCTACGGCTACAGATAAAAGACTGGTATTTAAGTGGAGAAGGCTCTATTATCCACCTGAGTTTCAAACCGTTCTCCACTAGCTGGGATTTCTCGATTCATCAAAAGAATTCAACCTGCTCCACCAGGTTATCCTTCCTCTTTTGCTCCCTCCCTTTCAATTTATGTGGCACACTTTTCTTAGTAGTCCATTCCAAGAAAATAACACATCTCTATATTTGAAAACAATTCTTTTCATTTTACTCATTTTAGCCTTATAGCGACACAAATGTTACGACCCCAAAAAGCTTTTATGTTTAAGGTGAGTCAAACTAACTCATATGAATTGAAACGGAGATAGTAATAGTTACCGACCCATGTTAGTGAAATTCGATTTTAAATGACCTAATTTTGTAAACACAGTTTTTTTACTGTTAATACATAAAACTTAAACTCTACAGTATAGCACTATAGCAGCTTAGCATACATATACAAAAATATTAGCAGTAAAAAAGACTCACTATCGTAGCAATACGCTTATTGGAAGCCATGAGAACTCTACCCTGCTCATCTAAAACAAATCCAGCTGGTGGTTTAGGTAGCGGCAAAGGAACGTAACGCTCTGCTTCTTTATCTTCAACTTCAACATCCACTTTACCTTCGTAATTTGAAACATTTTTCTTTTTCTTTTTGGTATTATTTGGAGATGTACGTTGTTTTTTCACTGGCCCCGTTTGTTGCTTTGCTGCGGAGCAAAATAATGTGTGTGTATTTTTTCTGTTGAAGTAAGAAGTTGGAATTGGGAAAAGAGGAGGAGTTTGGGGATTGAAAGATGAGGAATTTGGGAAAATTGCAGAGAAATTTGAAGGAGAAGAAGTAGAAGAAGATGGAGTGCATACAAAGAGGGAAGCCATTGCTTTGTGTGTTTGTTTGTTCTTAGACAGATGATAACACTGGAGAAGATATTTTATTACCAAAAGTTTGGAGGTCTAAGGGAATTGGAAATTAAATGGTCAGATTTGCCCTTGAAATTAACACTCACTTTTGGTCTATAGTATTATTCCATTGTTCCACTTTAACGGCTAGCCAATTTTTGGACCGTTAATTAAAAAATAATCTGCATTTGTAAAATCATTTAAAAATAATTATTATTTTGTTGAAACACAGAAAGTTTCATCATAATATGCGGGATTATAGAGCTCCTGCGTATAAAATTACAGCATATTATGTTGGAACTCCAGCACTTCCAGCATAATATGTTAGATTATGGAGCTTCTGTATATACATTTCCCGCATATTATGTTGGAACTCTAGCACATTACGCTAAAAGCTCGTATGTAAAAAATTCAAACTTCGTCATATTATGCTATAATATTTCTAGATTTTTAAGGATGTTTTTGTTTAGATTTTATTTTTATATGAAAAATAGCTAAATTTTGATTATTTTTAAAATTGTTGCTATTTTTCAATTACCAATTGTAAATATTGCTATTTTTTTATTTTTTTTTCCTCACTTTAATGCATAAACACTTATGGGTCGTTTGGTATGCTAATAAGCAAAAATAATTACCGGATAAAAATTTAGTACCGTCTTATTTCCTATTTGGTTACTATTTCTGGGATAAGTTATCTCATGATTAAAAATATTATTGGATAGCTTGTACCTGTCAAATGATGGAATAGCAATCCCATGATAAGTTATCCCAGGATATAAAGCACTAAAATTGACAATCTCAAGATTAATACAACATACCAAATAATCAATAAGAAATAATACGAGAATAACTAATTTTTGTATAATTAGTCCCAGTACAAAACTTGTCTTCAAACCAAACTACCCCTTAATTTTCCGCACTCTTGCTACGAGTAAACAATCCTCTTCGGATAAGTAGTCACATCCAAGAATAGTTATAATATCATGTAGTTCTCTGTAACGTTATAAAATTTGCTTAACTTTTAAAGTGTTTCGTAATGTTCGTGACCAACGATTTGAGGTTGAAACATATTTCATGTTGAATCTAAAGGATCTACTGCTGAATAAATACCTTTAATAGTCAATCCTCTGGATATGATAGTAGCATCTAAATATGCAAATGTCATAGCATAAGCCACTCTACCAAATAGCACCGATACTTAGGATTCTGCTAATTCATTTCAAGTTAATGCTCATTAATTTAGTAAAACAAATACGAAGAGCAAGAGTATAAATTGACGAGAAAAGGTATCGAATAGCAGTGAGCAACTTCAAATAATAAAAGTTCGAATTTGCTATTTTCCCCTTGATATAATTAATGTAAATATATACGTTTTCAGTGTGCCATAATTTGGTACAATTATTAATGCATAACAATCCAACTGTTTCTAATCTAAATACAACAATCTCATGACCTATTAATAATTATCTGATTAAACTCGATTTGTAAAAAGAAAAAACTCGAATATTGTTGTATTGAGAAACTAAACGGGTGATTTGAGAAAGTGATTTTCATTTTTAGTACTACCATCTTTCTAGGGAAAAAAGAATTTCTAAAAATGAACCAATCTACGAAGAAAGAATAGAGGGATATCAAAATGGGAAAATGACACTCTATAGTCGCTCTAAAAATAATAGTCAAAAATTTATATTTTTGTATATATATATATATATATATATATATATATATTTTTTGTATGTTATATACAAAATTTATATAAATTTGATATACTATTTCAACTACTGAATATAAATAATTTCTGGCGCAGGCTAAAAGTGATAACACCCGGATCGAAATCCCGTTATCCATACTTTATCGGATTAACTAAAGTCCCTTATTTTTCTATGGCACAGAAATTGCTAAAGAATATTCTCTTCTTTTTTTTATCAACAATNTTAATGATTACCTCTCTACTATTTACTTTTATTATTATAGAAGATCATTGGAGTTCAAGGATGTGTATTTCTAGCTCAGTTAGTGGGTGACTACTGCTCCAGTTAAACTTGGGGAAAGAAACAGGGAGATCATTTTTCTGACAATATGAGATTTCCAAATTGGGTAGGAGGAAAATGTTTTTCATGCAAGTTAGTGAATTCAAGAGCTAGATATCTCAAAAAAGAGGATACATTCACGGGTATCTTAGATTCAATCTTCACTTTTATAATTTTGGCTTTCTATATATGAATTCCAATCATTTCGCAATTTCGTTGAGAGTACCTGATTATAAATTGGTTATTTTACCATGTGTCTTTTTCCAATTTGTGGTTATGACAGTGAAGCTAACTTCCTATAGGTTCTTTTATTGATAAATCAAAGGAGTATGGCTTCAATTTTGTTTGCTTTATCTTTTGAGAAATTCAATAACTCCATATCAACTGTATCGAGCGATATTTTTCATTCAAATTTCATTAACAAAAGAATTCAAAAAAGATTGTCTCATAAATCTTGTTTCACCAATATTTCTTTAGTATATATTCTTAAATGGTTTGATACCATATATGCCCATCATTCCAATATATATCATTTTGCACAGTTGGTTAAACAATTTGGTTCACTGGAGTTGAATCATCCTAAAGCAATAATATTAGATTTGGCTTCTTGTTTGGATAAACTATTAGATATTGATTATTAATATAATGATATCAAAAAGTAGTATAGTGTAGATGGTGAATGCATCGCTCAATTGTATTCTCATGTCCGTCATATTGGTAAATATCAGTTTCAAAGTGCAAACAGACAATTTCAGTTAAATGTTGAAGTTTCGATTACTTTATGTAAGATATACCTTTTCTGTAGTAGCATAAAGAGGGGTGACAAAAGGTCATCCCTTATTTCCTACATTTTCTTAGCTAAAAGGCTGGAGAATTTATAATTGTTTTCCTCTTTGCTTCACGGTTCATGTCTCCAAACATTAGATAATGGTATATTTGTTATAAATTACTAACTTTTACTATAGGTGAATGTTACTCAAAACGGTTCTTATTTTGCTAAATAAATAAATAGATATTGAAGCCCCACGAGTTACTCCTAAGGGTTCGATTACTTTGTCTTTTACCTGATCCATTTCAATTGTGTTAGAAAATTTTATGATAGATAGGGCTTTTTGTAAGGCACTCTACTTACTACTTATTTCTGTGTATGCTAAAAAAGGTAATTCCAATTTGTGTGACTTCTATATTGTTAAGGCTGAGTATGTGGTTGTGGGCAGTCTTAGGGATACATAAAATTTATAAAGAATGAAAAGAAGTAGAGGGGCAGAGGATCGGGTCTATGGTTGGGGAGAAGAGAGGCCTGACAACCAAGGGCAACATTTACCTTAAAAAGACTAAACCTAATGCTAAAAGTTTTCAAACAATCATGCAGCCTTGGCCTATTTTGCAAATAAAACTTTCAATCGCTTAATAATGTGATGTATACTTAATTCAAGATCAGCATACATGTATTGTGGTACTTGGAGCAAACAGTCAGGAACTTGACCGGCAAGACAAATTAAAGCGAGCTGGCAAGACCAATTAAAGCAAAATGGCAAGATCAACTAGAGCAAGTTTCCTGTGAACTGTTAGAGTCTTGCATTTCTTTCCTCCTATAAGAAAATTTATTATACTTCAAATGATCTAAGAGAAGTAGAGTAGTGAGACACTTGATGCAAAATTTATGATTGTACATGGTTCATGTGCTGAGTTCATTACCCTAGCTTGTGAAAATACAAACTGCCTTACAGAAATAGATTTTTAGATATTCTAATTAGTTAATGTTAGTTGCTTCATATTCAGTTTGTTGCTGCATCTTCATATATAGTTTTCTGCTCACAAAAGCAATAGGAAAATTTTAAAAGTAAAATAAAAGACTATTTCTTTGACTTAACTAATATTTATAATGATTGCACAATTCTAACCACTTGATCATATACATGCGGGGGAATACAAACTATTAAGTTAGTTGTTTGAGACAGGGAGTTGAAATAGAGATGACTTCTCATACGAAATTAATCAAACTTAAGGTCTAGTCCTTCTTAGCAAACCGTAAGATATTGATAAGTTTAAATCGAAATGGTAGATACAATATTGAATAAAAAAAAAAAATTGTATTTGCAAAACCTTATACTTATTCTTATCCAACACTCTATCAAAAGATATTATGATATAAAAGACAAGCCCTTCACACTTTTTTTTTCGCGATGTTGTGGAGTTGCGAATAATTTTCACATTTTTGGAGTCGTCAAGTACAAACTTCTAATGCAGGTTGCAGATGCTTCAGAATACGACTGCTGCACATTTTCAGATTTTCACCCTTGTGGATCCTTGAAACACGGACTTTAGTGGCTATATTCAAGATATGAGATGTAAGGTTAGATTTTTTTTTTCTTTTGCTTCAAGAGCTTCATAAGTTATTCATGGCACTCCTCTGGAGTTATACAATTACTATTATTGTTTTCCTTACTTTTCGTCTCTCTGTTTTTTATCCCCTTTTTATGCTCAACTAATGTTGTAAGGTTTGATGGTCATGCAGGTGTAATGCTATTTCCTTTTAAGAAAATGATTATTTCTTAGCAATGAGTATTCTGCAATGAATGAAACTTTTGATTATCATTCTTTTAGCAACATAAAGCAAGTTGTGTGATCAAAATTATAAGTGATATGTTTTGCTTGTGTGGTGATACTATAAGATTGCAGCTCAAGATGGTGTTAAACTTTTTGACTTGTGGGAACTTCAGATATTTTCTTTCTTATTATGAGAATATACCAACTATAGCCAACGATTCTATTTTATAAATACGTTAAAATATGTTCGAATATCATTGACAGTTTCTAAGGGGGCATTTCCCTTTTTCTATTCTGGTAGCGTTCTGACATAACAGCAAATTTCAAGGCAATACAAAGTGTATTGATAAAACATTCCTTGGGAAGGGAGTTAAACAAAAAATCAAACTGGTTTTAATATGTTCACATGTTTTATTCTCTTATTTTTATNATCATTGACAGTTTCTAAGATTAAGAACAAGGAGATCAACAGAAAAATTCCTACTAATAATAACGCAAATCAAGAAAAAAAAAACGATAGGATAGATAAATAGTTTTGTCTTCCTCAAAATTTCCAAGTTTAATATCTAAAAAATAGATGGATTCACCAATCCATTCTTATTAAGATAGATCCAGACACACAAAATAGTGAAAAGTTCATTAATCTCAGAATTTTCTGTTAAAATTGCCAATTTTTTGAAGTTCACACAGTCATGCTTAATTCATCATTGACCAAGCTTAAATAGCCCCTTAAGCTATGTATGACTAATCAACTAACCATAAAAATAAGAGAATAAAACATGTGAACATATTAAAACCAGTTTGATTTTTTGTTTAGCTTCCTTCCCAAGGAATGTTTTATCAATACACTTTGTATTGTCTTTGAAATTTGCTGTTATGTCAGAATGCTACCAGAATAGAAAAAGGGAAATGGACCCGAGGTATTAATTGTTTTAGGTTAGTCTGATCAAAGAATAGTTACCAAGTTGCACTATATTTAGCACCATAATTGGCATAAATTCCTTCTTTTACTGTCTACTTGAGCTAAACACTGAGTATATAGATGCTTCACATTGTTTCCTCTTAGCTTTCTGGTCTCACTGTCGAGTATCTTTTGTTCTATGGGTGTTGTTTTATTATTAACTTCATTTAAGTTTTAGGAGATATATAACTATAATGTAGCTTGAACTAGCTAAAAATAATTATACCGACTAATCTAGTTTTCTCTCTATCTTATGAACAATATTTTAAAGAGTACTAAACTTTGGGTACTAAACAAGAGCGTAAGTTGTATCTCCAAGTTTGGTTTATAAGTATTGTAATGGTTTCTTTTCTTATCAGAGACTATTGGCGCATCTGAAACCTTAACTTGGAGAATGAAGAGAAAAGTCCCTTCAACATTAACCCATTGGAGTGGACTGAACTTACTAACTCAAGCAAACCTCCAACATGTTGGTGAAAATGTATGCCTAAGATGCTATATGTGCCTAGAGGAAGCTGAATTCATCATTCAGTGAAGTAAATAGATCAGCACTGAGCAGTTGGTGCATGTACCATTGCTTGTATATTGTTTGTGCATGTTTCAAAGATTATTCAAATACAAATGGTGGTACCTGCCCCTGGTACTGTAAAAGAAGTTATTATTAGCTTAGATGGGCGAGAAAGTAAAAAACATCTCAGAGTTGTATGTAATACAATTTCAACCTGTAATTTTTATGTAGTTTGGAATGACAAGTAGATGTATCAAAAATGAGAAACTTCGGTCCACACGCTTTGAATACAGTTTGTTTGTGTTTGGTGGCTGTCTGAATCAAAATGAAAGATGTACAAATAATAGATTCCTTAAACCCTCTTACTTCTATTTGTACCCCCTCTATATCCAATAAAATTATGCTTCTTTACAATAGGATGTCGAATTTATCTATCAAAAGAATTATTTTGTAGCGAATAGAGCAAAAAGTTAGGGATATTGGGCCCGTGCTGAGCACAGGCGTGCCTCATCTAATATATATATATTAACTAGCTACTTGGTTGTTTGTTACAACAGAAGCATTCGGAGAGGTCTCAACCTCCACAAAAACAGTGTAGTCTATCGCTACATTATAAATATTACAACCCCTTATTTTTTTCAAAAATAATTCCTAGGATGTCTGCCCATATTACTTCATTGGCAAACACCTGAAGAACTATCAAAAAGTTTGTTGTTGTTTCATTCATCTTGCTTGCTTTCTTGGCCAGCTTATCTGTCACCTTATTGGCTTCTCTGTAGTTGTGATTTACTGGAGAATGCCCCAGTGTTGTTAGGAGTGACCTGCATTTACATACAATAGTCTCATAAATCATATTGCCTCTGTGTATTACCTTAGTTGAGTCTATGTTAACCTCCAAAGGCATGAAGTTGTTTGAGACTGCCATTCTTAGTCCCTGCATTAGAGTTGTTAGTTCAGAGTGTAGAGTGTTGGTGTAATTTATTTTTTCCATGAATCCCATCACCCAATCAACATTGTTGTTTCGGATTACTCCTCATAATCCACCTATAGACCCATTTTGAAGGGTTGCCCCGTCTGTATTGAGTTTATAGTGGCCTCTCCTGGGAGAATGCCACTTGATATGTAAGACATTAGTAGGGATGTCAGTGCATTCACCAGCCACATGAATGAACTCAATAACTTTAGCTATGACATTCTTACAGGAAATTGGCTCTCTTTTCCCATGGAAGCAATTGTTGTGTCTAGTGAGCCAAATCTTCCATAAGCAGAAAGGGATCAACTCCCCCCATTTTAGGAGAGAGTTGAAATTTTTGTGTGTGGATTGTGTTGGTGGTGCATCCCAAGTTGTTCTGCTTATTCAGGAGGGTGGTGATGTTATGATTATTTAAGCTCATGTGGGATAGATTGTCCCAGAATAACTTGGCATTGTCACAACTAGATATGACATGCTCAATTGATTCTTCCTCTTTGTCACAGAAGAAACACCTGGGGTTCAGAGTGATCCCCATGTAGTGCAGGTATTTGGCAGTAGGAAGTCTGTCATGGGTCATCAACCACATGAAGTATTTTATCTTGTTAGGTACCTTCTTTGACCAAATCCAATTGAAATCCATCTCTGGACTTTGGTACAGATTCTCAAACTGCTCAAGGATTATGGAGTGGGCAGACTTGGTAGAGAAAAGTCCATTACAAGTCCTATTCCACACCATTTTGTCTATTCTAAGAGGTTTATCATTAGAAATAGTGGAGTTTATGCTTGAAACCACACTGCCATGTAGGTTGAAGGAAAGGCTGATAGGAATGAGCTGGTCATTTAGGAGATAGGTGGCCAGAGTTTTGTTCTTCTCTCCCCTGTTAAGGGGTCCACTAATCAAAGCTCTAAGAGGTTCTGAGTTTTGGATCCATCTGTCATTATACAGGTTGATTTTATCACCCTTATGCACTATCCACCTATTGACATCTCTACATATTTTCCACCCATTCATGATGCTAGTCTAGGTCCTGGAGACAATGTGCATTTTATGGTGATTGCTAGTGCAGTGTTTGTGGAACAACACTCTGGCCCAAAGGGCATTAGTGTTGTTATACATCCTCCATGCCAAACCAGCATGGCTCGCAGTATTCCTAAGGTCAGTTTATGCACACCAAGACCCCCTACTTCTCTAGGCTTAGTAATGATACTCACTTAATCAGATGTATTTTCTTCTTAACAACAGTAGTGTCTCATATGAAATTCCTCTGAATCCTATCAATTTTGTTGCACAACTAGGCAGGTAACCCAGTGTACTGCATGACATGACTAGGGATGCATCCCAATGAGGATTTGGCAAAGGTAGTTCTTCCAGCCATGTCCATGAAGTTAGTTTTCCAATGAGTTAGCTTAGCTTGCATGCTATCAATAATGAACTGGAAATCCCTATTGGTTGGCCTCTTGTGAAAGACTGGAAAGCCTAAGTATTTACCAAAGGAAGTGTTGGGCTTATTGTTCAAAGTCCTAGCTAAGCTATCTATTTTATCATGTTGGCAATTATTGGAGAAGACAATTTTAGACTTTAGGGTGTTGACCCTTTGAACAGATAGGCCGCTGAAATGGTGCAGAGTGTCACGATCCGAAATTTTCACCTTCGAGACCGTGATGGCGCCTAACATTTTACTTGCTAGGCAAGTCAACGTTAGAATAATATTGGCCATTTTAAAACAATTTTAAGTTAATTAATATCAAAGAAACAAATGCGGGAATAAAGTCTGAAATATAGTGAATAATCCACAATAATAGTGATGTTTAAATACCATCCTATAAATGGTGTCACAAGTGCACGAGCTACTAGAATAATACAAATAAAGGTCTGAATAAAATTCAAGTTGTTTGAAGGATAATACACAACTAAGATAAGATAGAAGAAGACTTCAGAACTGCGGACGTTATGCAGTTATACCTCAAGTCTCCTCTAGGTAGCTGAATCCGAGCAAATCTACTATACGCCGCTGGGACCAACTCCGGTATCTGCACAACCTCGACGAGGCTAAGGCAGGTCACTTACATTAACATGTACGCAATAATAATAATAATAATAATAATAATAATAATAATAATAATAATAATAATAATAACAACAACAACAACAACAACAATAATAATAGAAATAAAACATGTAACTCATTTCAACAGTTGAAGCCAACTCGACAGTCATAACCAATTATTATTTCAATCAGTTTCCGTTGCGGTGTGCAACCCGATCTCACAATATATTCATTTTCATTTAATCTCGTTGCTGCGTGCAACCCGATCCTCAATATATATTTTCATTCAGTTCTGTTGCGGCGTGCAACCCGCTCCTCCAATATATTCATTTCAATCAATTCTGTTGCGGCGCGCAATCCGCTCCTCCAATATATTCATTTCAATCAATATTTTTGCGGTGTGCAACCCGCTCCTCAAATAATATAATTTACCAATTCCTATAAAAGAAATTACTCCAATAAATACAACAATTAATATGAAATTATAAGACAACAAACATACAATAATTATGATTTATTTAGAAATAAGTGATGACAAGTAGCAATTAATTGTGGAAATTAAGGAGAAAATATGCAATTTAATATTTAGTATGCTAAATGTAAAGTAGCAATTAAGTCACATAAATCAAATAAGCATGTAGTAATTATAGCATAGATTCAAGGCATAATATTGAGCAAGGAATATGAGAGAAACAATTAATATAATAATTAATACATGATTTAAAATAATTTATAATTTTTAAATAATTATGCAAATAATTAATTTGACGACGTATAGACACTCATCACCTCGCCTATACGCCGTTCACATAAATTTCACTTAACAAATAATTCAAGGGTTCTATTCCTTCAAGTCAAGGTTAACCACGACACTTACCTCGCTTCGCAACCAATTTCAAGATTCCAATAAACCTTTGCCTCGCGAATTCGTGTCCGAAAGCTTCAAATCTAGTCACAAACAATTCAATAGACTCAACACGAATCATATGAATTAATTCCATATGAATTTACTAACTTTTCGGATTACAATCTGAAATTTATTTTAAAAATTGACAGTGGGACCCACGTCTCGAATCCCGGAAAAACTCACGGAATCTGAACACCCGTTCCGATACGAGTTAAACCATACAAAAATTATCAAATTCCAACATCGGATTGAGCTTCAAATCTTCATTTTACATTTTTAGAAGATTTTATAAAAATCTGATTTTTCTTCCATAAATTCACGGATTCATGATGTAAATAAGTATGTAATCATAAAATATAATAAATACAGGATAAGTAACACTTACCCCAATATTTTCCCGTGTAAAGAAGAAAGATGGTTCCATGCGCATGTGTATTGATTATCGACAGTTGAACAAGGTTACAATGAAAAACATGTACACATTGCCTCGCATTGATGACCTATTTGATCAACTACAGGGTGCCAGAGTGTTCTCGAAAATTGATTTATGGTCAGGATATCATCAATTGAAGATTCATGAGATAGATATTCCAAAGACTGCTTTCAGGACTCGGTATGGTCATTACGAGTTCCTTGTAATGTCATTTGGGTTTACCAACGCCCCAGCAACATTTATGCACTTGATGAACAATGTATTTCAGCCTTATCTTGATTCATTCGTCATTGTGTTTATTGATGACATTCTGGTGTACTCCCGAAGCCAGAAGGATCATGAGCATCACCTAAGGAATGTACTTCAAACTTTGAGGGAAAATAAGTTGTACGCAAAATTTCCAAAGTGCGAATTCTGGCTTGATTTCGTGGGATTTTTGGGTCAATGTAGTATCGAGCAAGGGGATCCAAGTATATCCGAAGAAAATTGAAGTAGTGTAGAATTGGCCCATACCGTCGTCAACTACTGAGATCCGGAGTTTCCTTGGTTTGGTAGGGTACTATCGTCGATTTGTAGAGGGTTTCTCGTCTATTGTTGCACCTATGACCAAATTAACTTAGAAGGGTGATCCGTTCAGGTGGACCGAGGAATGTAAGGAGAGCTTTCGAAATCTCAAGACAACTTTGACTACATCCCCAGTTTTGGTGTTGCCTACAGGTTCAGGGTCTTATACAATGTACTGTGATGCGTCGTGTATCGGTCTCGGCGCAGTGTTGAGGCAAGACGGTAGGGTGATTGCCTACGCGTCTAGATAGTTAAAGGTACATGAGAAGAATTATCTGGTCCATGACCTCGAGTTAGCATCTATTGTTCATGCCTTGAAGATTTGGCAGCATTTTTTGTACGGTGTCCATTGTGAGGTCTTTACCGACCATCGGAGCCTACAACATATGTTCAAACAGAAA